CCGGCCATTCGCGCAAACTTGGCCGAGCAACAGCGGATGACGCTTCTTCGGGGACCAATCGAAATGCCCTCTGAGGCAGCGCATTCAGTCCTTGATACCACGATACCTCGTGTGGACACACCTGGTGAAACAGCGATGAGCGGTGCGCTTCGGAGCACACAGAGGGCGGACTGATTTGGTCGGCGGCGTCAATCGCCCCACGTCGCTCTCGCCGGTCAACACAACTACGCTGGGCGAGTGCAGCAAACGGTCTGTACTGCCACCCTCCCTCCTCAACTCAAGTCCAAGAAAATGGAGCACATCGGGATCTGAGAAGCAGCCCGAAGAGAACTGATTTGCTTTCCAGTGGCATGATGAAACACTCTCATTTATGACCAATGCGGGGGAACACAAATGCATTTGGCAACAGTGGAAGGGCCCCTGCCATCCCTTTCCGAGGTCTCAGTCTCTCAGACAGCAGTCTCTCTCCGAGTCCGTGGCCATCTCCCTCCGAGCCCGCGGCCGTCTCTCTACGAGCCCGCGGCCGTCTCTACGAGCCCGCGGTCTTGCCTTTCCGAGTCCGGGCCGTCTCTCTCCGAGCCCGTGGCCGCCTCTCTTCGGGCCCGCGGCCGTCTCTCTATGAGCCCACGGCCGTCTCTCTATGAGCCCGCGGTCTTCCCTTTCTGAGTCCGCGGCCGTCTTCCCCCGACCCCGTGGCCATCTCTCTTCGAGCCCACGGCCGTCTCTCTACGAGCCCGCGGTCTGCCCTTTCTGAGCCCGCGGTCGTCTCTCTCCGATCCCGTGGTCCGTCTCTCTTCGAGCCCACGACTGTCCCTTTCCGAGGCCACAGCCGTCCCTTCCCGAGCCCACGACTGTCCCTTTCCGAGGCCACAGCCGTCCCTTCCCGAGCCCGCGGCCGTCCCTTTCCGAAACCACAGCCGTCCCTTTCTAAGTCCACGGCCGTCCCTTTCCGAGCCCGCGGCCGACCCTTTCCAAGCAAACAGCCGTCTCTCTCCGAGCAAGCGGCCGCCCCTTTCCGAGCCCGCGGCACGGCCGAGGCCAGGCTTAGAGACACGCTGACCAAGAAGAGACCGATGATCAACTGAAGTTCCATTCCTGTGTGACTGACAATTAATCCATTAAACAAACAAAATGAAGCGACTTTCAAAACAAAAAAGGAACACTTCTCGGAGTCTGTTCGACCAATGCACGACCGGGTTCGGCTAGCCAAAACCCACCTGGTTTGAAGCGTCCGAGTTCAATCTGCTTGTCTCCGGACGGGGCGGCGAAGAAGTTGCGCTCGGCCGCCCACGAGAGAACCACCATCAGCGGGAAGAAGGCGAACGTGACGGCCGCCTCCCAGATCTCCACCACGTCCGGCGAGATGCCCACCAAGATGATGAGCAGCCACAGGTACGCTGGGGAGACGGACGGTGTCAGAGGCAGGTCACAGGGAGGGTCAGCACTCAGCAGACACGGGTGCGCTGGGGGGACGGACGGCATTAGAGACAGGCCGCGAGGGGTTCTGCGCTCAGCAGTCACGGGTGCGCTGGAGCGACGAACAGCGTCAGAGACAGGCTACGAGGGGATCTGCACTCAGCAGACACGGGTGCGCTGAGGAGATGGACGGCATCAGAGACAGGCTGCGAGGAAGGTCAACACTCAGCTGCCACGGGTGCGCTGGGACGGGACGCTACAGCAGACTGTCAACCGTTTCGGGGGACAGTCACAGGCGGGGACACAGCAGCTAGCAGATTCCCAGGTTCGTGATGCACTGTGTGCAGACATTTGCTTTGCTGCCAGGAGTTCTCATCACACCAGAAGGATGTTAACAAGAGAATCGACCACAAACACAACAGCAGTGGCGGCACGCCATAAGCGCTGAATCATCATGACTACAACCAATGCGGAGCGGTTGTCATTTAGCTGACGCGCAATTGCACATCTGAACTAACCACGCCTCTGAGCAGAAATGGGACACGAATATATGTGGCAGGCAGATGTCCGCTGGTTCAAACTTACTTAACACTTCAAACTTACGATCTTAAGAACATTTTTCCGCTCAAAAAGGCCAAAATGCTATATTTCACTTGGCTGCACCTAGTGGAAACGCACACTGGTAATATTTTCTTAACGCTGCTCCCTGCGTAACACGCTGACCACGACATGTTATATTATTTAGCATTTCAGGGAAGAATCCAGAATATTATTCTGTTTTCGAGCGACTGGTCGATGCCGGAGCGTGTCGACGCTGAGCGCGGCAGAAGCCACAATCTGAGGTTCGCCAGCCTGCCGTTTTGAAAGTTTTTGAGACTGGGTCATGCAACCCTCACACTGCTCTTGCCAAGCCTTCTCCTATGTTTCGTGCCGATGCAAACCCCACCGCAATAATTGGCGACTCCAGAGGGTGATCAAGGGAATGCGTTACCGCTACCGCGCCGCGTCGTGTCCTCTGCGCGTTACAACAGAGGCTATCCTCAGCTGTCCGCCTGCGAGTCAGCCACCCATATGGACATCGATGAGTCGGCGTGAGCTCGCACTCAACGCATCAAAGAGATTGCCTGGGGGTGGGTGTCCGATCCTTTTTCACTCGTATGTTCCGCGATGCCTGCCCTCATCATATCACGCCCACGCGGGGCTGGTAGTCTGCCGACGCCCCGCTAGGTGGCTGACGGGCGGTCCGGTTGCGTTATGTCCCCGGATGGGGTCAGCAGCCACGTGTTCAGCCTGCCACTGCATCCGGCGGTGGATGCCACTATTCGAAGTCCCAGATGCGTAAGACCAAAGGACGAACCCGGGAACTGCATTGGCTCCCAGCCTGCCGGTACTGGAGATTGTTTGACTTCCTGTTTGCCTTTACGCGGTCTATTTCGGGGATTTGGACCTCCACTTGCCCACGAGCTGCCATCGCCATTGATTCTACCACCGGTGAATTTCTTGATTCGGTGGTTTTAAGCAATTCTTTTTACAGTCTGTGTTCATTTGACGGATGTAACATCTGGCTGTGTTGCCACCAACGGCACGAACGGCACCGAGGTCACCAGAGGCGTGCTCACTCACAGCAACGGGGACATGTCAGCGGGGCGGTAATTTCAGATCGCAAGTGACATGAAAACAAGCTCACTTGATCACCGAACCTGGTTTTGCGCGCCCCAGCACTGGCCACACTCCACCGCTCGTGCACGCGCGCCGTTTGGTCTGATTCGGTTGGGATAGGGGTCCTCTCGCTCAGTAATGACCCCTCCCGGCCTCCGGGATGAAAGAAGGATGAGGGTGGTACGGAGGGACTGTGGCCACCGTGAGGTCTTCCACTGCCGATTCCCCCTGCGCCACTGGCGTGACCATCCCTGGGGTCGGCAACGAGTCCGGACCCCAGAGACTATGCGCAGATTACACTATCTTTGCGTCTTGACCATAACAAATGGTCCCAAAACAGCCACCGGCCGCAGTAGAATTCAAGGCGTGATTACGTTCATGCCCCACACAGGGAGCCTTCTCCGAGGCCTTCACGGGAGCTCGGACGAGACTCGGAAGCCTTCTCCGGGGCCTCTCCGGGAGTTCGGACGAGGCTCGAAAGCCTTCTCCGAGGCCTACGCGGGAGCCCGGACGAGGCCCGGGGGCCTTCTCCGGGGCTTCCGCGGGAGCTCGGACGAGACTCGGAAGCCTTCTCCGGGGCCTCTCCGGGAGCCCGGACGTGGCCCGGGAGCGTTCTCCGGGGCCTCTCCGGGAGCTCGGACAGGGCTCCCGTCAGGTCGTCACTAAAGCCGGCTCATAGCTGACGGCTGCGGCTTACCGGGAGGGACGAGGCGTTGTAAGGATTCAGGGTGATGCGGTGAATAGGCATGGAAGGCGGACCCTGCCCCCCCCCCCCCCCCCCCCCCCCCGTCAGCCGGCCCGGGAGCTGTACACCACGGAGGCGGACACGACTGCAGTCCAGAAAGGCACACGCGAAATGCCTGAGGTTGTCTTATCGTAGCGCCCGAAACCGCCGAAAGTATTCCAGCTCCGCAGAGAGGCTGTTGGACCGGGCGACACGAGCCGGCCGGGAGAGCAGGCGGTGACGGATGATCCAAGTATGGCGCAAAACGGTCGACGCCTCACCTCATTCTTCCCTAAAAACAAGTTTTGTTGTCACCTCACGACAAAAAAAAACTTGCCGGCATCATGCGCGTTACGTGCCAGCTCCTCATCATTCGTAACATTCGCTGGTCTAATACTCTAGCTGTCATGTACAACTTAACTCCACCACAGAGCAAAGGATGGACGGTCTATCGCTGCAATAACAATACCTCCCCCCCCCCCCACCCCCACCTCCTATCACTATCTGAAGTAGCAAGTAGCCATGCATCGCGCAGGGGTCCTACATTTTGGCCACATTTGTTGGAAGGCTCAAAGAGAACAGCCTCTAAGTTTCGGGCCCCTATCTCGGGTCCAGATCTCGGGTCACGATCTAAAACGGTTCATAAACTACAACCCTAAAACGATGGCAGTTGTTTTCTGTCGCGTTGAACACCGTAACGCAGCGGCGCCGCTCGGCCGTGGGTGGTTTTGTGACGTCAGACTGCCTCAGGCGCCGGTCGGTCATGTGTGATTTTGTGGCATCAGGCTGCCTCAGTCGCGGTGCATTGCCACCTCACCTTTTGATACAGATATCTCACGAACCAGACTGCGCGTGAATTCTAATGACAAATTTGCAATCCATATCTCTGCGTCCATCGGCTTCGATCAGGACAAAAAATGGGTCAGCACCGCTATCCCACCCTCATCGTGACGTAAGATTACCCCATCGCTAACCAGTGGCGGCGGATCCTCTGACGTGACGGGAGCGGGAGACGTGAACGCAGCCCAGTCCTTTCCAAGCACCACCACTAGACTAGGGTAAAATTTGTCTGGATATGGAGGGCAGCTGTCCGTCCCCCCCCCCTCCGTTCTCCGTTTTATCTCACCCTCGTCCTCCCAGATTCTTTCCGTTTTCATCCATTTTCCCCGTACATCCCCTCTGATCATTGCCATTGACCGACGCAAGGACAACGGACACTTTGCACAAGTGTCTGCGTGCGTATGAACACAAATATTCCTTGCGTCATTCCGTCCCGCAACCTTGACCCGACAGACGCGCTCAGTGTCGCTCCGCATGCTGGCAAGATCACTACCCGCCGTTGCGTCTCTCAGCGGCAGCCACTCACCGAGAAAGCTGAAGAAGGTGGTGACGGCGAACACCTTCATGTAGCGGATAGTGCGCACCTCGTTCTTGGGCACCGCCACAACGCAGATGGCGACGATGCAGAGCAAGTTGAAGGCGGCGGAGCCCACGATGGTGCCCGGACCGAGCTCGCCGGCTTCGAAGCCCCTCGAGACGATCTCGATGCAGGACAGCAGGATCTCGGGCGCGGAGGAGCCGAGGGCCATCAGCGTCAGGTTAGCTACCGTATCCGACCAGATGCGCACTTCGACCACCTCTGGCTCCGACTCTGTGGCCGTAGCCATGTAGATGCGGCGTGTCTTGCTGATGATCTTCTCGATCGAGCACATGAAGATGTCGGCGATGATGGAGATACCCATGAAGCAGTAGAGCAGGCCGAAGAAGTAGAGGGTGGCGCGGACTTCCTTGGCCCAGGTGAACTCATTGATCATGGGCAGCAACAAGCCCCCGGAGCACTCATACTTGTACAGGGTGCCGTTGTTGACCGTCATGGCGGCGGAGTAGATGGACGCGAGAGGCAGTCACACCGAAGCTGACCACGAAGCCGTTCAGAGCTCCGCAGCACGTGCTGGGCGTCACAACCTGAGGAGAAAACGGAACAGGTCAGTACCTGACCTAAGCACTCCTAAGTGTTGATGGAGAGGTGATGCACGCAGTTCGGGTCGCCGTCAGGTGACGTAATATGTTATCAAATCAATCAACACAGCCACGTGGGTATATGGAGGCAGCTGAAAACGCTGGGCTACAAACGTGATTAACGAAGCAAAAGACTCGGCTTACACAGCCCGCTGAAGTGACGGCTCCCCGCACAACTGGAGGGGAACGGCCGAGGGGCGGGGCACGCAGGTGACATCTCCAGGTCCACGTCCCCACACACCCCGCGGTGAAACAACGGCACGATCAGCTCCAGGTGCTGGGCGTAATTTCCCCCTTCACGCCCATCGCACCGACGCTGCCGTGCGCCACGTGGCGCATGACGCGCGTCCGCAAGTGCACGCCGCGGCACGTGTGACAGGGGCCAGACGCACACACGTGCACGTGCCGCTGACTGACTGCCACGTGCGAGATGGGCCGATAGCACGCGGCGGCAGCGCCAGGGGTAACGGGGCCGGCCAGCGGGAGTGACAGCTGGGAGCGGCTAAGCAGATCCAACCCGTATCTGGCGACGGGGACCTTCAGATTATTTCGCGCGTGGCTGGGATACTCCACGTTATGATGACTCGCGAGATAAATATGCTTTCGGTGTCTTCCCTGAACCAACGGGGAAAGATGCTGCCGGCGTTATTTCTAAGAGGCGAAAAATGTTTGACGCGTATGATCAGGGACTTCTTCGTCGTGTTCTCTTGCTTTCCACGGCGCTGCTAAACGACGTCAAGCACGGCAGCGCAGCTTCCGAAGCGCATGAATAGTCGTTCCTGGATTACCAGTATCGGCCACTGCAGCGACACATGTGAAATAGCAATGCGTGCAATCGAGCGCTGAAAGAATAGAGCTCTGCTTGGAGACCGCGCATCATTACGGACGAGATGCACGGCAACTTACTGCCTGTTTTGCACGACGTGACGTAGGCTCAGGGCTTAATTTGGTCTTCCGAATGGGTGCAGGCTCAGGTACTCGCGAGGATCTGAGCACGCTTAATCGCGAGGCTCCCTAGCTGAGGGCGATCGCGGCACAGCCACTGCACGTCTCCGGGCTCAGGCTTAAGCCCGGGCTTAACTGGCCCGACTTAATCAAGGGGATGTTAGTTCCAGTAGAGTCAAAGGCATCCAGGGTCGGCGTGCCCCATCTGGTGCAGCCGCAACACCGATCAGACCCTGTTCGTTGCCACCAAATGGGAGCCTATGAATTACTTCGGGTGAACCCACTCGACCCGGGGACGTCGACACCTCCGTTTCAGTTGACGTCACTACCGGAGCCACCCCTCAGTTGGTATGGAAA